GACGGTGACCCAGATCGGCACCGACGATTCCGCGTTCAGTCTTGGTCGTGGTCCTCGTTTCCTCTCCCTCCAAAGTGTGAGAATCGTGTTCCGTAGCTGTGCGTCACTTAGTGCTTAAATGCAGCTGGAAAGCGCTCAAGTTGTTCTTTTGTTCTCTCTCTGTCTCTTTCTCTGTCTGTCACAGTGGGGTCCTGGCGGCTGCGTGCGCTGTGCCGCCCCGCTGCCAAGCCCGTCAGGATGCCTCCTGGGTGGCGATCTCAGGGCCCTCTCAGGTCCCCAGGGTCTTCTCGGGATCTTCTCAGTACTCTCTCGGGGCCTTTTTGGGACCCTCTCGAGGCCTTTTCAGGACCCTTTCAGGACCCTTTCAGGAGCCTCTCGGGTCCCTCTCAGGACCCTATCGGGTCCTTCTCAGGAGCTGCTTAGGCCTTTGAGGAGCCTCTCCGGACCCTCTCAGGACCCTCTCAGGACCTTCTCAGCATCCTGCTGCGAGGGTGCTTTGCTGGGATGTAAGTTTGAATGATCTCGGGCTCTGGGAGCTTGTGCGCCGCACCCAGGGGAAGTCCTGGGTGTAGCGCTGTTGGTGGTCCGGGCCTCTGAGGAGCCCTGCGTACCTTTCTGCTGCGCCTCACAGCTGTGTGGGCCTTCGGACACTCCGACTGCGTGCGCAGGGCACGGCGGCGGATCGATCTTCCACTGCACCCCGAGGATGTCTCCGCAGGGCGTCGCACGGGCCCTTGTTGGCGGCCTGCTGCTTTTCTCTGGCGACTGTCACGTCGAGGATGAGGTCTCGCTGCTGCAGTCCTCCGTGCAGACAGAGCCTACTACTACGACGCCGTCGTCTTTCTACGCCCCCTTCACGGTTAACAACTCCAGTGCCAACGCTGCGGGCCTCGTGGAGTGGAAGATGAACGACGATGGCGTCGGGATCAACTTCTGGAAGAAGGCAGGCTGGTCTCCATTTGGCTCGAAGGCGCGGACGGAGGCGGAGGTCAAGCTCGACGCCTCCGCGATAGTGCGGTCGCTATCCTGGGATTTCAACGCCTCCAGGACGAGTCAGCCGAAGACGCAGCCGGAGCTCGCCCTGACCATACAGGGCAGGGCCAGGCTCGGGAACAGGCTCTTCCAGTGGGCCGCCTTGGTTTCCATCGCCAAAGAGGCTGGCGCTAAGGTCGCCTCGCCTTACAATCCTAAGTTCAACCCAGAGTCGACGCCGCAGCTGTCGAAGATGAACCCATTGATCTGGCATGACAAGGAGTTCGAGTGGCTCGGCAAGCAAAAGAACAAGTGCCACATCTGGGACCGGATCCCCGTCAAGCTCGACTGGAACATGGAGAACCTGTCCAACTTCACCCTGGGAGGAATCCCCAAGGGCGAGCTGCAGGTTCAGGCCGACGGTCCCCCGCCCGAGCGCACGCAGAACTGGGCGAAGACTTGGGCCGACGCGATCACCAAGACTGTGACCCCGACAAAGTGCAAGATCGTCGAGCTCGACGGCTACTGGCAGAGCGCGGAGTACTTCGTCCATCACTTGGACATGATCCGGAGCCTCCTCTGGCACGAGGAGTCGGCGGCCCAAGCTAAGGAGATCATGGACGGGTGGTTCAAGCACGACCCGCCGGTGGGCAGCGTGGTGGGCGTCCACCTCCGCCTCGGCGACTACGTCGGCGCTGGCAGGAACCTCAACATGTCTTACTACAGGGAGGGTCTCAAGATGGTTCAGCGGAGCAAAAACACGCAACAGTTGACGTGCATGATCTTTTCGGACGATATTAAGCTTGCTGAGCAGGTGGGCAACGAGTGGGAGGCTTGCACCAAGGTCGTCCCTGTGCTGAAGTGCCCAGAGCCATGGGTCGATAAATTTCGATGCAAGGGTAAGGAGATCAGCGACTGGGTGCAGTTCTACATGATGAGCCAGCTGGACAACCTCATTATTGCGGACTCCTCCTACTCCTTCTGGTCGGCGGTCATTGCACCCAACAAGCCGCTGGTGGTGGTGCCAAGAATCACTTGGCCTCTCGGCGTGGCCAGCCGTGGAGACTACGCGTACCTGAACAACCCCTTGTACGGTTGGGTAAACATCGACGCCACTCTGGGAGCGCCCGACAGCAAGGCTCGGGGACAACGAACGAGGGGTGGTGCAAACGGAGGGGTGGGTTACGTCATCTGCTGCGTGCAGCCGGTGTCGGCCCCGCCGGTGCGCACACTCCTCGATGCATGGCCGCTCCCAATGTCTCGAGGCGCCCGAAGAGCCTGCTGGATGCGGCTGATTCCTCGACCCATCCTTTGCTGATCTCCCGCCTACCCCGAGAGGCGGTCCGGGAGCACCTGCACCTCGCGGCGGACCGCAGCAAGGCACGGGCCAGTGAGTGGGCTGCGTGAGCCGTCGGCGGCGTGCGGTCCGCGCGCTCGAGGGGTCCTTGCCTTCCCGTCGTCGCGCCGAGCTTGTCTGGCCAGGCTTGTCTGGCCGGGCTTGCAGCCTGGAGAGTTCTCACGTCCAGTGGCGCTGCCGCGCATATCCGCCTCGCTCGGGGGAGCTGCGTGTTCAGCAGCGCGGTTTCACGTGCAGGTTGCTCTGCGAGGCCCTGACGCGTTGAAGCTTGGTGCTGGAAGTGTGTATGGGCGTTGCTACTGATGGCAGCAGAGGTCGGTAGAGAACCCCCAGCCTGCCGAGTCGATCGGCGAAGTGCCCTTTTTCGATTCTCGAGAGGGTGTCACGGCCGCAGTGTTTACAGGCCTGCGCCCGCTTAGTGCTGATTCTCGCCCTGGGCCGTTTTCATGGAGGGTGTTTTGCTGAAGGGGGTTCTGTCCACCCCCGATGATTGCACTGAGACGAATCGTAACAGTGTGCCCAGCGCTAGGGTGCAACAGCTAGAAGTCATATTGGTTTTGTTTTGCTGAAGGGGTGCCTGTCCAACCCCGATGATTGCACTCAGTCTAATTATAACAGCGTGCCCAGCGGTGGATTACATCAGCTATACTGGTCCTATCGGTCTTGTCGAGCCTTCCAGAGCCAGAATCGGATACATCTCCGATCCGACGCGAGGCCAATCTCACACCGTAAGCTCAATCCATCCCCCCAGCCTCCTTATCTCCCGAAGGGTGCTCTTATTGCTTGCTTATCCTAGATATTTTGATCGTCCCTGAGCTTGGTTCCTGGGGAGGAAGATTCTGGGCAGGCTGCATCCTTGTCGCTATGGCTGGATTCGGGGATTCGTCGCTAGTGCCCGATTTTCTTTCCGCCCGAGTCCGAGGCGGGATATCAAGTGTCGGCATTGGCTTCCTAGGGGGCGCGTGCGTCTTCCCTGGCGGCCCGAGGGCGTGGCAAAGGGGGCGCCGTGTTGCTGGCTCCCGTGAGAGCCACCAGGGATCCTCTTGCGGGGGAGGGCGGGTCGGCAGGGTGGCTGGTTGGGCACGGAGAGCAGGCGAAGGGGATCGGCGGGTTGGCGGGGTGACGGGGTAGGCGGCTGGGCTGGTTGGCTGACGGGTTGGCTGGGTGGCGGGGTGGCTGGGTGAGCTGGCTGGCTGGTTGGACGGGTTGGCAGGTTGAGCTGGCTAGGGCAATTGGTTTCGATTAGTACTACTACTCATACTACTGCCACCGCTTCTACCATTCCTTTTACAACTACTACTAATAATACTAGTAGTAGGGCTACTACTCGTAGTACGACTAGTAGTGCTACTATTACTACTACTACTACTACTACTACTACTACTACTACTTCTTCTACTACTACTACTACTACTACTACTACTGCTACTGCTACTGCTACTGCTACTGCTACTACTAATACTACTACTACTACTACTACTACTACTACTACTACTACTACTACTACTACTACTACTACTACTACTACTAATATTACTACTACTACTGCTACTACTACTACTACGGCTACTACTAACTTTGCTACTACTACTACTAGTACTACTACTACTACTACTACTACTACTACTTCGGGTACCGCGACTAGTTGCTACCAGTACTACCACATTGCTACTCCTACGGCTTCTAGTACTACTAGTATCACGACCCCGACTACGACTACTGCTAGTAGTATTATTACCACCAGCGCTACCACGACTAAACTGCTACTAATAGTATTTCTACCACTACGCTACTACGACATCGTTACGACTGCCATTACGCTACCATTTTTTAGTATTCGTAAGTGTTAGTACTACTACGCTGGTACTAGTAGTTTACAGTTCTATAACTATTTGTACTGGTTACTATTACTATGACCAGTACCGCCATTATCATTATGAGTTCTAGTGCTACTAGTATTAGTACACGTATTAGTAGCCACCATTACTAGCATGGGCAGTATTACTACCATTACGCTACCTCCACGCTACCACTACTAGTGTTATTTCCACTACGCTATCACTAGTAGTATTATTACCACGACTACACTGCTACTAGTAGTACACTGCTACGCTACCACGACACCATTACGACTGCCACGACTACCAGCAGTATTATTTATACTATAATATTTGTACTACCAATGCTACCACTACTACATTACCACGATTACTTTTGACTTTACTACTGATGCCAGTATTGCTGGTGTTACGAATATTACTAGCACTATTATTTCTATTTTCATTATTACTACTACTAGCACTACTGCTGCTGCTGCTACTACTACTACTACTGCTGCTATGATTGCCATTACTACTCGTACGGCTACTCGTATTAAACGTACGACGAGTATTACCAGTGATACTAGCACTACTACCGCTACCACTACCACTACTACTGCTACTACTACTACTGCTACTACTACTACTACTACTACTACTACTACTACTACTCGTACTACGAGTACGATTAGTAGTAGTGGTGCGACTGTTACTCGTAATTCTAGTGCTACTAGTACTGCTAGCGCTACTGGTGCTATAAGTACTACCAGTCGTGCGAGTAAAGGTATCGGTGTTAGTAGGGCTGCCAGTGCTACTACCTACTACTACTACTACTATTACTACTACTACTACTACTACTACCACCTACGACTTCTACCTACTATTTCTACTTACTACTACTACTACTACTACCTACTACTACTATTACTACTACTAGTACTACTACTACTACTACTACGACTACTACTACTACTACTACTACTGCTGCTGCTGCTGCTGCTGCTGCTGCTGCTACTACTACTACTACTACTAGTCCTACTACTACTACTACTACTACGACTACTACTACTACTACTACTACTACTACTACTACTACTACTACTACTACTACTACTACTACTACTATTTCGACCACCAGTCTTACTATTACTAGTAGTACTACTCGCACTACTTCTGCAGGTTCTCTGGGGTCTTGTATAGGAATCATACAGGGGCCGCGCAGGCCCTGCAGGATCTCTAAGGGTTCTCTATAGGGATCCTATAGGGATCTCTGCAGGGTCTCCATCGGGATCCTGTAGGGACCCCGCAGGCCCTGCAGGATCTCTATCGGGCCCCGTAGGGATTCGAAAGGGTCCTGTAAGTATCCTATCGGGGCCTTTCAGGCCCCCCACGATCTCTGTAGGGTCTTTATAGGGATGCTTTACGGGTCCTGTAGAAGTCCTATAATGACCGTTCAGGCCCTGCAGGATCATTATGGGGATCCGATAAGGGGTCCTATAGGAATCCTATATGGGGCCCCGAAGGGATCTTATATGGTCTCTATAGGGACCCTATAGGGATCCCAGGGGGATCCGATAGGGACCTTACAGGCCCTGCATGGTCTCTACTGGGTCTCTACAGGATCTCTACGGGGTTCTGCAAGGGACCCTGTAGGGATCTCAATCGGGGTTCTGTAGGGTTCCTAAGGAACCCTTTACGGATCTCCATAAAAAGGGGTTCTGTAGGGTTCCCCAAAAAAGACCTTCTAGGGATCCCTGTAGGGTCTCTATGGGTATCTATGGTTCCTGAGTGGGCCCTCTAGGGTAGGGCCCCATATAGGGTCCCGAAGGAACCCTATAGGGATCCAAATGAATTCTATCGGGATCTCTATAAGGTTGCTATGGGGATACTAAGGAAGCCTGTAGGGATCCTAAACGGACCCTGTAGGGATCCTCTAAGCCTTGCAGGGTTTCCATCGGGGCCCTATAGGGATTTATAGGCCCTGCAGGGTCTCCATATGAGCCCGATCCGGATCTTGTAGGTTCTGCAGGGTCTCCCTACAGGGACTCCGTTCGGAAGCCTCGCCAGAGCAAATATCGGAATCCGCTTGGAGCTTCGTCGGGGGAGCGTAAGGAAGGTATTGTTTGTGTTTCCGTTGGGTTGCTCGGTTGCTGGGTTGCTGGGGGCGGTGGTGGGTGGGGGGTGGGGGGGGGTCGCATCCTTGCTAAGCACCCAAAAAGAGCCGGACGCTCAAATTTGAAAATCTCCCGAATACGCAAGAAAAGTTCGAAAAGCCAAAAAGTCGAAAAGTCGAAAAGTTCAAAAGTAGCCCGCTGGTGCCCGCGAAAAGTCGAAAAGTTGAAAAGTCGAAAACTTTTCGACATTTCTACTTTTCGACTTTCCGGCTTACCGCGTCCAGGGACATCCCAGGCGCCCCGCGTAGCGCTCTCGCCGCAGAGGGGCGCAGAAGTGCATCAATTCAAAAAGTCGAAAAGTCGAAAACTATCGACTTTTCGATTTTGCGACTTTTCGAGCGCTTCAGCGTTGCACTTTTCCAGTTTTCGAGTTTTCGACTTTTTGGGCTTCGTTGCGGAGCGGGGCACTTTTCGACTTTTCGACTTTTCTAATTTTCAGATTTTTATGAGGCGCAGCATTTTTCAACTTTTCGACTTGTCGACTTTTCGCGCAGCGCTTGCCCCGATTCCACCAAAATCGGCCGGCTCCTCATTATGTCTCTCCTTTTCCTTCCCAGACCTCCTGGGAGAAGAGAGAGGAGAGAAGAGGAGAGAGGAGAGGAGAGAGGAGAGGAGAGAGGAGAGGAGAGAGGAGAGGAGGAGAGGAGAGAGGAGAGGAGAGGAGAGAGGAGAGGAGAGAGGAGAGGAGAGAGGAGAGGAGGAGAGGAGAGACCCCAAAAACGACCTCCGAAACGGCTTCAAAAACGACTTCCGAAACGACCTCCGAAACGACATCCGAAACGACCTCCGAAACGGCATCTGAAACGACATCCGAAACGGCCTCCCAAAAGGCTCCGAAACGGCCTCCCAAAAGGCTCCGACACGGCCTCCCCAAAGGCTCCGAAACGGCTTCCCAAAAGGCTCCGAAACGGCCTCCGACGCAACCTCCAAAAGGCCTTTGAAATTTCCTCCGAAACGACATCCGAAACGGCTTCCGACACGGCTTCCGACACGTCCTTCGAAACGGCTTCCGAAACAGTTCCGAAACGGTTTCCGACACAGTTTCCGAAACAGCTTCTCACATGGTTTCCGACACGGTCTCCGAAACAGTTTCCGACACGGTTTCCGAAACAATTTCCAACACGGTTTCCGAAACGGCCTCCGGAACGGCTTCCGAAATGTCTTCCGAAACAGTTCC